CTTTAGAATCACCTGGGCAGCTGCCAAAAAATTCCATTGCCTGCCTGCTCCCCTCATTGAAATTGAAATCAGAATTGGGGAGTGGGAGCGGGGCCAGGCTATCAGTATCTTTCAAAGCTCCCTTCAGAGAATCTAGTTCACAGCCAGGCTTGGAAACCATGGCCACAGTTGGGGTCATTTCCCCCAGTGCTGGGTTCCTCATGCCCCTACCTTCTTTCCAGCCCTGGCCATCAGAGTCTGCCTTGGCCCAGTCTGGCCAGGCTGCCTGCAAGGTCCATTGGTGCCCTTAGCTCAGATGGATTTCACTGTTGTTTTGTAAAGTAACTCCCCTGGGACGCTGCCACCCTGGCCCCATCCTCATCCTCTGAGCTGACGTCTCTTGGGCCCACCCCCCGCCCCCAGAGGAGGTGTGATTAGGGAGATGGGGAGGCAGGCGGCTTTGACAGACGAAAAGCAAACAGCTCAAAGGGGTGGCAGGCTGTATTTTATTCATCGTTAATTTAAACACCCCTCAAGCCCTCTCTTGGAGTGTTGCTCGGAAAAATAAATGTATTGTCTAAGAAACCCTGCAGGCTTGTCCCGCATGCTCTGACCCCCTCCTGAGAGAATGGGTAGCATAGAAAATGATTTATAAAGCAAGGGGGGAAGCTTCCCTAGGGAGGAGGTGGGGAGAGGCTGACAGAAAGGGGAAGGGGGCCTTGGGCCAGGTCGGTGCAGAAACCTCACCGCTTCAGTGATGAGACTGGCTGGGTTCGGTACCTGCAGGTGTCAGAGCTGCTCCAGGGACGAGAGTCCGGGCCCCGAGTCCATGCCGATGAGCCCGTCCTGGGGGTCAGGAGTGGTGTCAGCAGCCCTCCCCCGCCCCAGAGTGGAGCCTTCGGTGGCACCAACCAGCACATTTTATAACAACTGTTCCAACAAAAAAACGGGCCCCAGCCAGCGCCTCTTCTGGACTCAGAAGTGCCTCAAGCAGTCTGTCTGAATGTGCTTTCCAGACAGTGTGCGTGTGGAATTGTGCTTTTTGTTTGTGAAGAATGTAAAAAGTTACAGTAAGGTGGAACCACCTGGCCCACGGCTCCTGTGGTCTCTGCCTCTGTGGGCTGCCGTGGCCAGGAGGGCTCGGGTGCCCCTCACCCAGGGCGCAGGAAGAGGGATCTGCGAGGAGGCCTGTCCGAGAGGTGGAGGAGCCCGTGTACATTCAGCAGCTGTTTTCCAGGGTTTGGCTTGGGTTTGGTCGCTGGCGTCTGTGTAAAACACAGATACATGCAAAGTGTCCATGAAACTCCCCCAAGACAGGGAGGAATTTTCCAGGCCCCTGCAGCTCTCCAGGGAGTTAAAAATGCAAAATCCTTCTCCTTAGAGTGGCCCAGACCAGGATTTCTTTTCCGTGGGGAAAGGGGCTAGTAGCTCTTTATAAGGCTGATGTATGTATGTGTGTGTGTATGTGTGTGTGTGTGTGTGTGTGTGTGTGTGTGTGGTGTGTGTGTACACGCATGTGTGTGCATGATGCTGTGATGTGTGACACTCCTGGCAAAGCCCAGGACTTCGTGGCATCTTCCACAAGCTGAAAGCCTGAGGCTGCCTGAGCCTTCCGACTCCTTCGCCAGGCCCGGAGGTGCTGGCTTCGGTCAGAGGACACAGGGCCCTGACCACCTGGCCTTCTTAGAGAGCAAGGGCACCAAGGGCGGCTCCTTCCCTGCCTGCTTAGCTCTGAGAAGGCCCGGCTGCAGTCTAAGATCCTGGCCTCTGTGTGGCCACAGCCGAGTGACAAGAGCCCATGCTGTCTGAGAGCCCATGCTGCCTTTATGGGAGCCCCAGCACAAGAGGGGTGAGTGTGGGCCTCAGGTTAGGAAGCAACTCGTGGAGCCTGGGGATGTTGTGATTACAGTGAGCTACCAGCTGTGGGTCAGACTGGAGACCCCTGCATGGTGGGAGAGGCCACAGCATCTTAGAGGAAGGAGCCCTTTCTTAGCCTGAGGTTCAGAAGAATCTGCACCAAAGAAAGGGGTTCCTATCAATGTCTATAATCCTGAAATGATGGGAGGACCCCATCCCAGCTTGTCAAGCAGGTCTGGTTCTCTATGCTCGCCCTCAAGCAGGATGTCAAACAAACCCTTCAGGCATGGGTCTAGGCTCCAACAAACCCCCTGACCTTGGGAGCCCGGCTTTTCCCAGCAGCCCCTGGCATCTGGGGGACTGAGCCCTTTGGCCTGAGGTAAAGGACAATGATGATTAAAAAGGGCGGCGGTAGGGGGGAACCAGGGGAACATGAACAAAAATACGTGCATACCACTGAGTCCTGTGCTACCACTGTACACTAGAGGACTGGCGTTTCTCTGGGAGGTTGCTGAGCAGGAAGGGTCCCTTTCCTAGCTCCCCTGAACCATGCTTTCGATTCCTTCAGCAGCGTGCTCAAGCTGCCTGCAATTGCCTCCTTCCAAAGCCAAAGCATAGGAAAAGAAGTGAAAACAGCTAAGGCTGCAGCGTGAGCAACTCAGAATAGACTTTAGGAAGCAGTGGTGACAGAGAAGACTGCCAAAGAAGGTTATGAGCTTTCCTTCTCCGGAGGCAGGTCCTGTTCCCGCCTGTGGGGATGGGATTCTTTGCAGTCCTGCGTGCTGGTCAGCAGATTGCCCGGATGCCTTTTTGGCCTGTCTAGCTCAAGGAGCCATGATGACTGTGTCTTAAGCCTCCTGTTCTCTTCCTGGAGCTCACTTTCTCTGAGTTGGCTGCTATTTTGCCTGATCTTAAGTCCTCATGGTCTAGATGTCTCTGTCATGGTCTAGATGTCTCTGTCTATTTTCCCCTCTGGATAGCTCAGATCCCCAAATTATTTCCTGTTGCCTAGGTGACACCTCTAACTGGATGCCTTTTCATCTTTCCTTCATTTAAAGGGATAAACCTGATACTTTATTTCTAGGTCCCGTTAGAGGACTCCGCCCTAAACAATGCGTGCCTCTCTGAGCACCGTGTGACCACAGCCATTGCTCAGATGGGGGAAGGGTGGCAGTGTTGGGGAGGCTCATGGAGCTGGCCTAGCTGACGTCACAGTGCATCCTGGAAGCGTGGCTCTCTGGAAGCCTACCCTTCAGGAACTGGCAAGACTAACTTCTGTCCTGGCCAGCTCCTCCTCACTGGCTTCACCCCCAGCTTACAGTCTGTGTTTAAAAACCAATCCCAATCCAAATTAGAAATTATCCCTCACCCCCCAAAAAAGAAATTACCCAAAGTAGCTGGAGAGTTACTCAGATCTTAACTTGTTTTTTCCTTCCTGCCATGAACTGGAAGGGGCGAGGGGAGGCTGACATTCAAGTGTGACTCTTAATGCTGTGTGTGTGTGTGTGTGTGTGTGTGTGTGTGTGTGTGTGTGTTTGAGTGTTCTAGGCACATATGCTTCCTTCACTGCCAGGGAGGGAGATTTTACGGCTTTTTGATGCCTCTCAGGCAGACGGTGTGAGGTGTCCTGGTGCTTTCCTAAGACTTCCTGTCAGAAGCTGTATATATATTGGTGGGTCACACTGTGCCTGACTAGACTCTGGTATTTGTCCTTGGGATCGTCATCTTTTTGGATGAGAAAAAATGGGCCAAAAGAGTACTGTTCCTTTACAGTCCAAGACCCCCATCTCTTCAATGAAGGCTGGGTATCTGGCCTTCCTCCAGGTCAGTGACCTCCTAGGAGGTAGAGGGTGAGTCTGGGAGAAAGTGTCCTTCACCTTGAGGATCATCCAGAGCAAAACTTTAATCCTAAAATTGCTTCCATCCACCAGCTCTCTCCCTCCTGCCTTCCTCCACCTCCAGTACAGACTGTGTGTGTGGAAAAAACACATTCACTTGAATATTAGTGGGGGCCAACCAGGGTGTAGAATGGGATGTGTCCCAAACACATCATGGGCTCTGGAGTCAAATTCTCTGACACTTGCAGGATGACTGCTTTGGTTCCTGGTGCTGCAGGCCCTGGTGCCCACCAGTGTGGCTGGCAGAGCTCTGATGCAGAGGAGGGGCAGCTGGAGGGGGTACTGCGCTCTGCACCCTCGGGCTCTCTAAAAGGGAAAAAAAGATAAGAAAAAATCCACACCAACAAAGAAAAATCTTGTCTGAGAAGACTCAGACATTCCTGGTTAATAACGAAAAGCATTCCTGTGGATGATGCTGGTGAAAGGAAGGAGCGTTGAGGGGATTCAGACATGTGCCCTGAGCCTCAGAGATCAGCCAGCTGAAGCGGAGCTGGGCTCCTGCAGCCTGAGTGCTCCCGGCCCTGCAGGCCACTCCAGGCTTTCCCTCTTTAAAAGGAGTTGCCCTGTGCGCTGTGCTAAGTGGACTAACTCCAGGCTGAGAAAGGCCTGCTAAGCCCCTTACCACTGCAATTCCCAAATCTCTGGGAAATGCCACAGTCCGCAAGTTGGTGCTATGTTTCATCCCATTGCATAATACTACGCCATTCCCTGTGTGTAGCGGCTGCACTATATATATACATCAGGAGGCAACATATGGCTCTCCCCATCCCCACCTGTCATAACTGTGACTATATCACTTCTGACGACCAGAAGGAAGCTGCTGGGCTGGGCCGGGATTCTAAATGCTGCGGAGGTAATTCAGAGCCATGAAAAGTTGCACCATATGCTTTGGGGTTGCCAGCTGCTTACGTGCATCGAGACGGGGTTTAGTGCCAGTCTGCAAAACCCAGGGGTGGCACTCTTCTCACTGCCGTGTGCACTGGGCGAGGGTCTGGGGTGCCACTTTTTCTCTCCCTGGAGGAGAATCTGCTGGGGACCACAGTTCTCCAAGAGGGAGCCCATAAGGAAAACAGGCTCCCCCAAAACCTGCCCTTGATAACATCAGGCCTGGCCAAATAGTATTTCTTTAAAAAAAAAATTTTTTTTTTTTGGTTTCATTTTATTGGATAAAGGTTAAGAAAGCGCCAGCGTCTGAGAGAAGGAAAGCAAACGCCGCCCGGCTGCACCCCAGCCTGGTGAGGGTCCGTGGCGCGGCGAGGCACGCGTCTACCTGGAGGCGCTGGTCTCGGCCAGGCGGTTGTTCATGATGCCCAGCGCGCCCACGCCGCCCGAGAAGCCGTTCTGGCGCGTGTTGACGCACACGCTGCGCGGGTAGCCGTTGGCCGTTTCGGACAGCTGCTTCTGCAGCAGCGCCAGCGACACTTTGTTGGAGGCCGTGAGGTCGCGCATGGAGATGAGCTCGCCCGACAGGCGGCGGCCCTCTGCGTCGCTGTCGCGGGCCGCGGGCTCGGCGCCGAGCGCGGCCAGGCGGCGGCGCAGCCGGGAGCCCGGGGTGATGGCGTTGCGCCGGGCCAGGGGCGCGCCGGGCGCCGGGCAGCAGCGCGCGCAGCAGCGGCAGCTCAGCTTGCGCAGCATCCAGTTGAGCACCTGCTTGATGAGGATGGAGATGACGTTGAAGAGCGAGTAGATGCAGCACACGCCGAGCAGGATGAAGAGGAAGTTGCCCAGGCGGTAGAGCCCCTGGTTCCGGTAGGCGGCGTGCTGGCTGCTCACCAGGTCCCCGAAGCCGATGGTGCTGAAGGTGACGAAGCAGAAGTAGAGCGAGTCCACGTAGTCCCAGCCCTCCACGCTGGTGTACATGGCCGAGGCGCAGCAAGACAGCAGCACGGCGAACAGACCCAGGATCAGCAGCACGTGGTACACCGAGGGCTTCCAGCCCGCCAGGCAGTCGGCTTCCGAGAGCGCCGAACCGCGGCGGAAGGTGGCGGGCAGCAGGCCGCTGCGGCGCAGCTGGCGCTCCCGGCAGGCGCGCATGATGAAGGCCAGCAGCGAGATGATGCGCTCCAGGAAGAGGTTGAAGAACAGGATGGTGCCGGCACAGCCGAACAGCCCGTAGGCGATGAGGAAGGCCTTCCCGCCCACCGTTGCGGGGGTGGTCATGCCGAAACCTGTGGAGACCAGAGCGGGGGTCAGCGAGGTCCTGGCTGAGCGGGTGGTCCCCACCCTACGCGGGGCAGGCATGTGCAGGTGCTGACATGGCTCCTATGCTGAGTGGCATCGCTCAAGTGGTATTTAGACATTTCTCTCCCTTGGTGGCACTAGATATGGTTCCTAATCTGGGCAACCCCTAAACTGATGGAGGAGACATGGCCCCTCGTCTTGGGCAGGGGGGATCTATAAATCAATATGGGTGAGGCAAGATGGTCACTAGGAGGGACCCATCAGGAAACACAAAACAGAAACCACTGCACAGATGCAAACTACTGTGATACCCACAAACCGAACAAGTGTCACCTGGTCTCCCATCCCTCAAATTGTTTTTTTAATGTACCAGGGGCACACCTGGGCCTTGTTAGGACAGACTTCCATAAAGGCTTCATTTTATGGGATTGCTGGGGACCAGGTAGGGTGTTGAAGTTCGGTCCAGGTAGCTATATTTGATGGTCTCTGAAAAGGGGTTTATGAAACTGACAAATGGATTGTCTGAGAATGAGTCCACAACCTTCAGAGAGTAAGCGTGGCTCTGCCATTGGACATCAGCTCCTTCTCACCCAAGGACCACCATCACCCTTGCTCACACTTGTAGCCAAGGGAAAGGTTTTGGCCCCGCTGGGTCCTGTGCTGCCGTGTCTGGAGTGGCTTTTATCCTGAGAGGTCTGCTCTGTGCCAGGGCAGCTGCTCAGTGCTTTGACTCTTGTAATTAAGTCTTAATTTACCCATTCGTTCAAAGCACAGTCTTTAAGGGAGCTTCTTTATCAACTGATCTCTGCGGAAGGCTTGGCTTCCCGCCAGGATGCTCGGCCCCTGTCATCCAGGGCAGTGCAGAGTGGCAGCTCTGCTCCTCCAGCCTGAGCTCTCAGCCAGCTGCCGGTTGTGATGTCCTTGTGGGACCCATGCTGCCTGCCTCTGGTTATGGGAGGGGATGTAATCTCTTAGCATGAAGATCCACTGCTGCTTGGAGTCTGAGCAGAAAATGCATCATCTGTCTGAGTGGCACAATAGCACCTGTCAACACCTCTGTAGCAGAAATTCAGGGGCATCCCTGTTTAATGCATGCCCGACGTCAGGAGGTCTACCTGTGCACTGTTAGGTGGGGTGGCGCCAGCTCTGGGAAAGGTGTGGCTTACCATTTCCCTAAAAAGGCCAGAGAAAGTTTTTTTCAGAATGATCCCTTAAACTTGTATGCTAATCATTTTCCAGATTCCTTGGAGGAGATGCCCAATTGCCTGACATTGTCTTCATCTTATGCTTAATGACTCAAGTTAGGAGAAAATCTTATCATGATACCTCTGTTGAGGAAGATGGATTATGTCCCTAGATTCAGAATTTGGCCGTGAGAGTGTGAAAAAAGCCAAACTAGCAGTGTCACCAGGAACTCAATAGAGGGATTTTGCTGCACTTTAAAGCCAAACTCAAGTTCTTGAATTCATGAAGAAATCAGCTCTGAATCGATATGACTATACGTGGAGTGGGAGTGTTTGTATTTGTGTGTGTGTGTGTGTGTGTATTTACAAAAAGTCCTAGGTTGATGACCCAAGTGTCCAACAGCCTAATTCATGGTCTGTTCATACAAGGAAATACTATACAGCAAAGAAAAAGCACAAACCACTGCTACTTGCAACAACATGAATGAAACTCACAAAAGAATGTTAAACAAAAGAAACTGGACACAAAAGAAGTATTCCATTTGTATAAAATTCAAAACCAGGCAAAACCAAGCTAGAGTATCTTTTTAGGGATGCATACTTGGCTGGCAAAATTATAAGGGAAATCGAGGAAGTAATTTTGATAAAAGTCAGAATTGGGGTTTCCTCTGGGGATGGCAGGGTGTGGTGACTGGAAGGGGACCCAGGGGGACTCTGGGGTGCTGGAAATCTGTTGATCTGGGTGGTGGTTACATGGGTGTTTGTTGTATAATAACTTTCAAATTGTGTGTTTTATGACTTTTTTGTACTGTCATAAGAAAAACTTCAAAATGCCTAGAGTATTAGAACTGTGAGGGACCTTAATTCTGGTCTGCCCCTTGCTGTATAGGTGAGGGAGAAGGGGCAGAGGGGACATGACCTACAGCTTGTGGGGGACAGATGCCATACATGTGTCCTGGCTTCTAGCTTGGTGCTTAGACCATCATACACAGCACTGCTGCTACTCATGAAGGGAAAGCAACACCTCTCGTAGGGGGATCACTTGGCTAAATTCCTAAAGAAATGAAAAATCCTGAGCCTGGAATATTAATACTATGCCTAAGAGGATATTGAATGGGATTTTCCTATTTTTGAGAATTTTCAGCTAAAGTCTTAAAGCTAAGAGTGACATGTAATATGTTAGCCCTCATTCTAAAGAGAAGTTTTAGATACATCTATGTCATATCGATTAAAATAGCAAAATGGGTCTGGTGACTAGTAACCCCTACTACCCACTTCCAGGCTGTACAGAAAGGTTAGAAATTATCCAGGGATAATGGGAGACGGTCCTGAAGTAGGAGGGGTGCTGTGGCACCCGCAGGTCTAGAGATGGTGGTGGTGGTGATGGTGAAGAGAACGTCAGGCTGCAGCAAGGGCAGCCTGGCAGCTCATTTCCCAGTGGATGCTGGCTGAGCTGCAGACACTTGAAAGCTTACCCAGGAGCACTGGAGTGGAGCATGGTGAGGGTTTTGGGAGAGCCAGAGGTGTCTCCTGGAGTCTGACGCTGTGCTGGATAGTTCTATGGGTCAGAGGCTGACCGGAGCAGCCCACACAGGCAGGGACAGGAAGAGGGCATCAGTGGGAGCACTCTGTACTCCCAGGGCACCTTGCACCAAGGATGGGGGAGAGTGACATGGGTCAAGCAGACTCTGCAGTCGGCAGCCACATCTGAAGAGACTCTGCCTGGGAGGGCTGCCTGCTGGATCAAGGGTGCCTGAGGGGCGGGGGGCAGGGGACAGCATGAGATGTAGTCACAGGAAGCACCACCCACTCAGGGAAAGGTGCAGGGCAGTGGTCCCTGTACTGGGGGGGAATCTCCAAAGACCCATATGGGCTCCACGGGAGGGTATGTCTGTCCTAGCCGTGGGCATTGTGATGCCACCAGCAAAAGCTAAGAAAGGATGATAGTGGCACCAGTGATCTAAGACCAAGAGGAAACAAACAGATGACCCCTCCCACACTGCAAGTCCCTGAGCCGGGGGCCAGGCCAGAGCTGGAGGGAGAGGCTGAGCTTTGATTAGAAGTGAATTTGAAGATGGGATTTAGATTGGGTTGGACATCTGAGAATGGGTCTCAATTTTAAAACTGGTGATACTTAAAAAAATATTATTTGGAAAACTCTAGCATCTATCCAAGATGTTGTTAAGGAATCCAAAGGAGAATTCTTCAAAACCATAGATGAAGACAAAGCCATTTCCCGTGCCAGCCCATTTAATAAACTGGTTCCAAAGGCCCGCCACTCACAGTGCCAGCCCCGCAGGTCTCGTTTCGCTCCATCTCTACAACCTGTGAGGGAGGCACACCCCTGTTTAACAGATGAGGAGACCTCTGGTCAAGGGGCTAAGTAGTTGCCATGGCCGCACAGCCCAGAAATGGTGGGGCTGAGCCTGAAACCCAGGCTGGCTGGCGTCTAGCATCCACCTTCTCTCTGCCACCGTAGACTGTCTTCTGAGGGCACCGCAGGGCCTCCATGCCTCTTAGAAAACCAAGAGGGCTGGCAGCTGGGAGAGCACTTTCGTGTGGGCAGGGTGGCTGACCCTCAGTCACAGCTCCTGTCCCCAAGAGTCCACTCTCCTGTTGTGGCTCTCTCTCCACTGCCTGTTGCTGGGGAGAGGGGCCACTGCTCCACCCTTAATGTCTTCACCAAGGTGGACTCATCCGCCTTCTCGTGGCACAGCTAAGACAGAGGGGCAATTCAAACCAGACTCAACCCAGGGCTTGGGGACAGCAGGACTGAGGCACAGAAGGGACCACTGCTTCTGGCCCACAGTTCAGCCGGCTGCCCCCAGGCAGGGCACTCATCTGCCCGCTGGGCTCCTGACAGGACTGCCCCTGCCTGACCTACCCCCGAGTCAAAAGCCATCTCCACTCTCGGGGAACATCTTCAGATTCCTCCAAACTCCTCCATGATTGGACTCCTGGCTTCTGCCCCAGCACCCCCTTTAGAGTCTGGGTTTCTTGCTGAGGATCTGCCTCTTCCCTGGATGACAGAACCCAGAATGAGACTTGTTTTTCCACCCACGCTTCTCCTTCCCCACAGGGCTGTGGCCTTTGCCAGGGCCTCTACACAACAGCACCACCAGATATGCACCTGGAGCACCGTCATCCACCTGCTCGTTCCTTTTCCCAGCACACACTTACTGAAGACCTGGTTTGGCAGGCCTCGGGCTGCACTCAGGGCTGTGGTGGAAAACCAGACAGACACCCGCACAGAGGATCCGGGCTGCCTTCTTAGAGGTTTTGCACAGCTCCCCACGCCTCTGCTGCCAGTGGCTCAGCCCTGGGCCAGGGCACAGCTTTACCCTGCTGCCCCCATGCAGAGGCTGGGCCAGACCTGTCCTGAGGTGTCCTCATGGCTGTGACTCCAGGCCCAAAATGATGCCAAGTGCTTGACTGGCTGTGGCACTCTCTGCCCAGAATGAAGGAGACAGGCAGGTCAGGAGGTTCTCTGTCCAGCACAGAGGGCACCCAACACAAGTGTCCCTCTCACTGCCCTGATTCCTGAGGTCTGGCTCCTGTGCCCACTTCACTTCCCTTTGCTTTCCTACAGACCCATGTCGGCTCAGCTCCAGAGGCACGGCAGAGGGGACACAGTCTACCCTCCTGCCCCATCAACGCCAAGAGGCTCAGAGCTCTGGGCTGCTGAGACCCCTGGGCCGGGCCTCTTGCTGAGGGCAGTAGGGTCCGTGCCCAGTGATGCTGCCTAGCCAGATGCTTCCCAGGGTGGAAGAACAGTCCCCTAAGCTCGGGGAGCCAGGGGCCTT